TCTAAAAGTTGTGAAATAAAACTAGGACTTTTAGGCCATTCACTCTCTTTGAGTTTCTCTTATTCTAATAAACTTCAATAAACAGCAATAAACTTAGATTCTTTGGGATTTTTCCACTACAATTGAGTAGATCTGACGCTTCCACTAAATTTGACGAAGTCTTGCCCTACCAAAAGTTGTTCCCATCCAGATGTGAAAACTCATTAAGTCAGTTTCGCTTTGTTGTGTCAATTTGCTTAGATTAGAAGTGACCATCAACATTATCTCCAGTTATGAAGAAAAAAATAGTTTCGAAGACTCAATTTGTGATTATTGTGACATGACTTTGCATTTTGAAGGAAAAGTTGATTGGATAGAAAGCTTGAATTTATCTCACCCAAGACTGAATTTGGTTTGCTTTGAAGGAGTGAACATTTCTGGGTTGTGTGAATAGGCCCTTGGCCCTTGGCCTTGGTTGACCGTCCGTCGTGACAGACATCGTCAGAGGGAGAAACGGTACTCTTCGAAAAAATCAACTAAAGAGGATATAGAAATGGGTTGACCTCGTTGTCGCAACTTGGTCTTGTTGTCAGGGCGACTATGTTGAACGCACCTAGTCCGAAGTCGTCTGTCATGGCACCAAGCTACGAACTCGTCAATCCCTCGTCAAGCGTTCTTCCGAAAACGGTTACACTATCACTCCTCTTTCTATCATTGCCTATCTATCTACTCTTTATACTCTTCTTCCACTGCGGAGAATGGCAAAGCTCACTGATGACGCCGACTACGATGCCGGCGAAACGTTTGAGAATGTATCAAGTCCATTGTCAGATGCTGGGCATCATGACAACTACTATGGCAGACTACTTCGGACTAGGTGCGTCCTAAATAGTCGCCATGACAACAAGGTCAACCAACTTCTATAAATCGAAAGGAGACTGCGACCATAACAGAGGCCACAACATCTTGGTCTTCATATATTCAATTATAGAGGATATGCCTAAAAATAGAGTTCATTGTATTTGGGTCAAATTTTTCCTAAATGATGTTTTGTCTTTTTAACGATGTCTGTCATCATAGGACAGACGAAACTTCGGTATGGATTCATCGGAGTTGCGCAACCGTGAGCGAGAGCCTCCTCATCCAATCCGACAGCCTTTACTTTCGGCCTCCTGTGATGCCAATTTACGATTCCCTTTCATCCAACTTTTCTGTCTAACCGACCTTTCTTTAGAAATGAAAAGTCCTGTCACAATTACCTCCAGTTCCCCTCGGATAGAATAGATTGAATATTTGTTACCAGCTTTGGTGTGACTGTGGACTAGATCGAGGCTGTGAAAAGATGCAAACTTGAGAAGGGAGTGAGGGATTAAAAGCTATAAATTGAAGAGATAATAAATATTTTCATTGAGTAGGGCTTCCAAACTATCAGGAGGTCTTGAATAAAAGCTGTGGGAAAGTTCAGCTATCAGCATTTTACCATGTTGCGTGACCTAGGAAGAATACAGATTTTATTCAAGATCTACAGGTAGTTTAAAAAAAAACTACTAATTATGAATATAAGTAATGTAGTCGATTGTAATATCAAATACAATTGTGATTCGTTGGATACCCCACCATATAAATGTGATATGCGAAACGCATAACCTTCCTTGAAATTTCACATGAGACCCAGGCGAGCTTAAAACTGCAGTCCACTTCTGCATGGATGAGAATAGCTTTTGAGAAGCAAGGTTATGTAGAAGTGTTATCACCTCGTTTTGCCACTTGTTCATGTTATCAAGACGACCTAGATGGACGCACCTTGTCCGAAGAAAGGTGCCAAGTCCACGGTTGAATGAAGAGGACTTCGAACAAGGTGTGACCAACTAGGTCGCCCTGACAACATGGTCGAAACCCAACTTTTCTTAGCATGGCCAAGTTGCAAAACGAGGCCTGACAACTCCTACACATCGAAAGGAGACTGTGATAAAAACGGAGGCTACAACATCTTGTTCTTCACGTCCAACCTTTTGTGCAATTCAATGGAAATGAGGAATATACTCATATTATTTGGGAAATTTTAATTATCTATCCTCCATCACATGCGTCTTAGGGTGAATACAACTCTTATTTAGAAAGTAGATATGTCGCTATATGAAACACTGCAAACAAATAAATGGTGCTAGAATCTCTGATGGCATTCGTTCTCAGCACTATGACTACCACAGGTAGGCTAAATCGAATATTTAAGCAGAAAAATTCATGCCAACGCATTTACTCGTGCACAGTTTGCGGCTTGATTGAATTTCACTTTTGACAACCAACCGCAAGTATGAACTCATACAGATTTGGTACCACTTAATGTGAGATAAATTGTAGTTTATGATAGCGAGATTCGTTATATAGAGGTTGTTTGACCTTGTTTTCGCAAGATGGTCATATTGGTAGGAAGACTTGGAGGAACGCACATAGTCCGGAGTCCATTGTATGCATGATCATTTCCAAAGTTGAACCGTGGACGTGGTAC